GCGTCCTGGCTTTCGCCTCCACTTCTGCTTCAGGGCGCACGCGCAACCCGGGGAGGGGTTTCTCGCGCATAGGGACCACAACTCCCAGAGTGCCCCGCGTCCTCGCCGGTGTCGCCGCCGAGACCAAGATGGCTGCCAGTAAGTGCAGGTGCCGGTGGCGCGGGGGGCTCGGTGGTACCGGGAACCTCCGGGCAGTCCTGGGACTGAGGTGCGGCAGGGCAGTGGTGGAGGCGATGGGGTCCGTGCTGGAGGGGGACGCAGAAGTCACGAGGGGGCTCCTCCAGGGCAGGGGTGGCACGAGAGGATTAGAGGTCACGGGGCGCAGCCACTTGCAGGGGTGACCCTCCTCGCCACCCCTTCAGGACTCGGCGCCTTCCTCAAGAATGTCTGGGACAAGGAGCCAGTGCTGGTCGCGTCCTTCGTCATCGGGGGCATCGGTGCGTGAGTGCTTCAGGCGCAAACTTGCATCGTCCACCCCCGTCCCCCTACATCCCTCCATCTTGTACCTCTAAAGCCCTGTCGCCTCCCTCGGCTCCCCTCCAGTGTGTCTGCACCCCCACGACATCCCCTTGTCTATCCCCATACCCATTATAACGTCTCCACCGCCCCCCGCATTCCTCTCCCCCTACCCAATACGCTCTTAACCCCTCTAAATGAGACGTTCTCAACCCTTCTTATGCATTAGCAACACCTGAGCACCAAAAATAAAGTCCAGATCCTCCTCCTCCCTTTCATCTCCCCTCTCCCACATTCTGAATTTAGTTGGCTTGGTTGGAGGTGGGGCTGGGGAATCTGTGTCTTGTGAAAATCCCCCTATGATCCTAATGTGTCGTCTTGCTGATTGAAAACCTCAGCCCTCTACCCTGGAACTGTGCTACTCACACCTTAATTAGCACCGCAGTTCCTGCAGGGATGGGGCCTTTTTTTTTTTTTCTTTTTTTGGAGATAGAGTCTCACTGTCACCCAGGCTGATGTGCAGTGACGCGATCCCAGCTCACTGCAAACTCAGCCTCCCGGGATCAAGGGATTCCCCTGCCTCAGCTTCTGGAATAGCTGGGACTACAGGCGCCCACCACCACGCCCGGCTAATTTTTTTGTATTTTTAGTAGAGACAGGGTTTCACCGTGTTAGCTAGGATGGTCTTGATCTCCTGACCTCGTGATCCGCCCTCCTCTGCCTCCCAAGTGCTGGGTGAGCCACTGCTCACCCCTGGGATTACAGGGATGGCACGTACCACCACGCCTGGCTAATTTTTGTATTTTTAGTAGAGATGAAGTTTCACTATGTTGTTCAGGCTGGTCTTGAACTCCTGACCGCAAGTGATCCGCTTTCCCAAAGTACTGGGATTACCGGAGTGAGCCACTGCGCCTGGCCAAACTGTGGGTTCTGATTCTGTAGGTCTGGGGTGGGGCATGGGATTCTGCATTTTTGAAGAGTTGCCAGGTCTTGTCAGTACTGTTGGTCCACCAGCCAGGCACTAGGTAAGGTTCTGAACACTTGTTCGATCTGGCAGCCACCAGCCACACCTGGCCACTGAGCACTTGAAGTGAGGCTGGTATGAATTGAGGTGGTATAAGACACACTGGATTTCAAACACCTAGTATAACTAAGTGTGTAAACTACCAATCGTCTTTTGTTGATTACATGTTGAAGTCATGTTTGGATATACCATGGGTTTTTTTGGTCTGTTTTTGTTTTTTTGAGACGGAGTTTTGCTTTCGTCTAGGCTGGAGTGCGATGACCTGATCTCAACTCACTGCAACCTCTGCCTCCCAGGTTCAAGCGATTCTCCTGTCTCAGCCTCCTGGGTAGCTGGGATTACAGGCGCATGCCACCACACCTGGCTAATTTTTTGTATTTTTAGTAGAGACAGGGTTTCATCACATTGGTCAGGCTGGTCTCGAACTCCTGACCTCAGGTGATCCACCTGCCTCGGCCTCCTAAAATCTTGGGATTACAGGCGTTAGCCACCTCACCCAGCCAAGTATGTTTCTTAAAATTTGTTTTATCTGTATCTTATTTTTACTGTGCCTACTAGAAGATATAAAATTATATACCTGGCTCTTACCATCTGTCAGTGCTGGCCTAGAACATTCTTCTTATGCACTGTACCCCATCCCCCGGGACTCCTGGCTCCCACCCTAGGTGGACTGTGACCTGTCAGTGACTGTTGTTTGTGCAAACCTTTCTCCTCCAGTTTGTAACAGTTTTTTCTGTTTTTTTTTTTTGTTTGCGACAGAGTCTCTGTTGCCCAGGCTGGAGTGCAGTGGCACAATGTGGGCTCACTGCAACCTCTGCCTCCCAGGCTCAAGGGATTCTCCTGCCTCAGCCTGCTGAGGAGCTGAGATTACAGGCTCCTGCCGCCATGCCCGGCTAATTTTTGTATCTTTAGTAGAGATGGGGATTCATCATGTTGTCCAGGCTGGTCGTGAACTCCTGACCTCAGGTGATCTGCCCACCTTTGCCTCCCAAAGTGCTGGGATTACAGGCATGAGCCACTGTGCCTGGCCAAATGTGTAACAGTCTTAATTTCTCCATGATGACCCCTGCACTCAATATGTACTCATTCCACAACCAACCCCAGTGCTTCCTCCTCTAGGCCGCATGTATCTGTGAGTGTTAGACTCCCACCCCTACCTCCACTTAACCCCCGAAAAGAGTTTTAAGTCCTCTTGTCTATAAGTAGGGATCCCAGGGTACCAAGGATCCTCCTGGAGGCCCTCCCCGCAGCCCTCCCGCTTTGCAGTTTATCTTTGCCAAGGCTCAGATTCCCTTCCCCTCTCCTCAAAGCCACCTTCCCCTGGGGCTCACCCCTGTGTCTCTCCACAGCTATAATTATGCCCGCATTCAGCCCCTACGTCAAGTACTCCATCATGATCAACAAGGCCACGCCCTACAACTACCCAGGTGAGTAGGGGCCAGGCAGGGATCCCTGGGATGGGCCCAGCCTCCCTGTGCTGGGGTAGGGGCAGTTACGGGCAGCTGTTTCCTGAGCAGGCATCAGAGATTCAGCAGTGGTGCCTGGATTCCCCCTGTTCCATTATTTAAGAATTGAGCTATAATTCGTATACTATTCTGTGTTTGTGCTTCGAGTTTCTATTACCTTTCCACATTTCTGTCCCTCTCTGGGTTCCCATCTGTGTTGTTTTCTCGGTCTCCATCTTTTCAGGTTTCGGTCCTGTTTCCCCATCTCTTTTGACCCTAGCTCGCTCTCGCGCAGGCTCTCACTTGCTCTCTATCTGTCTGGTTTTCCATGTCTCTCAGTCTCTGTATTTCCTGCCTCTTTCTGCATCACTGATTCTCTGACCCTTCCCCTCCTCTCAGCCCTGGGGTCCCCCTTCCCTCTCTGAACATAGAGCGACAGACCAGCTCTTCTCTCCAGGACTCTGGAGACTTGCTGGTCTCAGTGGCCCACCTCCTGTCCCACAGTGCCCGTCCGTGATGATGGGAACATGCCGGACGTGCCCAGCCACCCCCAGGACCCTCAGGGCCCCAGCCTGGAGTGGCTGAAGAAACTGTGAGCACCTTCACTGACAGTGGCGGCCCCTCCCATGGCTCCCAATAAAAATGTGAAAAGCAACCCCAGAGCGTGGCATGTGTGTGATCAGCGGTGGGAACCAGTAGACGGTGGCCAGGGTGAGTGTGGGCTCAGTTTACTGGGCATGGGTCAGTCAGAGGCTGGGCTAGCCAGAGTTGGGTAGGGCAGCAGTTTGTCTGGACCCCGAGAAACCCAGCTGGAATCCAGGGCTTCGTCTGCTTCAAAGCCAAAGTCTTCCTCGACCTTAATCTGCAGGAGAAGGAACAAGATGTTAATAGGCCTGAGAATCCAGAAAATCCCATCAGTTTCACCATTTTTGTTTTCATTTTGTTTTGATTTTCAAAGAGACAGGGTCTGGAGTGCAGTGGTGCCATCACAGTTCACTGCAGCCTCTGCCTCCCAGGCTCAAATGATCCTCCCACCTCAGCTTCCCAAGCAGCTGGGACTACAGGCACATGCCAATCATGCCTAACATGTTTTTTTCTTGTTGGTAGAGATGGGAGTCACGGTATGTCGCTCAGGCTGGTCTCAAACTGCTGGCATCAAGTGATCCCCCATGTAGGCCTCCCAAAGTGCTGGGATTACGGACATGGGCCACTGCACCCAGCCAGCCTCACCGTTCGTGTCTTCCTAGGCCAGTCACCTTCCTCCTCACACCTCAGAGCAATCCCAGTGTTCCTGGGTCCAGATGTTCTTTCAGCTTTCCTCCCCGCACTGGGCCTTCCCTTCCACCCCATCTTCTCTGATCCTTCCTTCTCCTCTACTCCTAGCCTTGTCTAGCTATTTTTCCTTCTCCAGGTCTTCCTCCTTCCCTTTCCAACTTTGCCCTCCTTTTCACCCAAGCCTTTGCCCCACTTTTTCCAACTACTTCCCTGCCTGATCCTAGGCCTCCAACACATCCTGGTTACCTCCTTTCTTCAACTTTCCCCAGCCCTGGGCCCCTCAGGGTGCAGAACCAAAACCCAAGAGCCCTGAACCTGACTTGGCCCCAGCCCTGGCCTCAGCCCCTCCCCTTGAGTCCCCCCCTCCTCACCTCCACCGGAGCCAGCTCTGGGGCCCCGGTCCCTCCCCTTGAGTCCCCCGACTTCCTCACCTGCACCGAAGCCAGCTCTGGAGTCAGCGCAGTTCCTGCTCGGCGTCCATCCCGCGGCACTCGCCGCCTCTTCCGCCCACTGGGCCCCTCGCCGGGCGCTGGGCTGCCAGGTTCTGGGGGTGCAGGAGTCCTTCTGGGCGGGGACAGTGCCTCTTTCTCTGGAGGCTCATTCTCAGCATTGCCTGGGGTGGGAGCATCCGTGCCCTGGCTGCCCTCATCCTGGTGGGGAGGAGGGGGAGGTAGGTGAAGGCTGCGTCCTGGGCTCCCAGTTCCTGACCCTCCTGGAGGCCGAACACTCACCTCTAGCACAATGGTGAACTGGCTGGCCCGGTAGTCATCCCCATAGGAGTCCAGCACTCTCATGAGGAACCTGCTCGGGGGAGAAGCCACCAATGGAGTAAGTTACCTCCTAGCAGCTGGGGAAAGGGCCACAGGATAGAGCTCAGCTCTCACCCCACTCAACACCAAAGCTGTCCTGGACCCAGACGGTCCTGAGCTCTGGAGGCCTGGGAGCCACGCCCTTGACCAGCCTTGAGACCTCAAGCAAGACAAGACGACCATTCTGAGGCTGAGTTTCCAGCTCTGCAAAGACATGAAACCCTCAACTGGGCTGGATGTTGTAGTGGTGACACTGAAGTAGTGACACCAGACGATTTCTGTACTTATTGTGATGTCGGTACTTAGTAAACATTCATATGTGAGTTATCATTTTTATTGATAAGAGAGGGGAGTGCAGAACGCTCTTAATGACCTCGCCTCTTATCAACACCCCCTTCTCTTCTTTCCCCAGCCCCTGCCTCCAGAGATCCTGAGTTTTAAAGCTCTAATTGATGGGATGCTTCCTCTGCGCCAGCGCCTGGGCAGGTTTGTTGTTGTTTTGAGGTGGAGTCTCATTCTGTTGCCCAGACTGGAGGGCAGTGGCGTGATCTCGGCTCACCACAACCTCCACCTCCCGGGTTCAAGTGATTCTCCTGCCTCAGCCTCCCGAGTAGCTGGGATTACAAGCACCTGCAACCATGCCCAGCTAATTTTTGTATTTTTAGTAGAGACAGGGTTTCACCGTGTTGGCCAGGCTGGTCTTGAACTCCTGACCTCAGGTGATCCGCCTGCCTCGGCCTCCCAAAGTGCTGGGATTACAGGCATGAGCCACCGCGCCCGGCCAGGATGTTTCTCACACAGACCTCGGTGGTTCCACATGCACCGAGCGCCCACTCTGCCCTGTATGCTGTTCCGGCGGCTGTGCCAAGGACACAGCGGGCAACAAAGGTCCCTATGCTTACAGAGTCAGGGTTGCAGGGGAGACAGACAATAAGCAAACCAGCCCAACACAACAGGTCAGAACGTGGGAAGAAGGCAGGTGATACTGGGCTTGGAACTTCAAAAGGATGGTGGCGGACACCTCACCAAGCAGGCGAGGGAGCGGCGGAAGGAGTGGCAGGTGCAAACGTCCTGACGTGGGTGCAGAGTACACGCGCCTGGTTTCCAGAGCAGCAGGCAGGCGGGCGTAAGGGGCCCTCTGAGGCAGGGCCTGGTCGGCTGCTGCGGAACATTCGCCTTTACTCCGAGTCAGCGGAGAGCCACCGCAGAGGAGCAGAGGAGGGGCCTGGTCTGTCTGACATTTTAGAAGGACTAGTCCCACATTTCAGATACAGCAGGCCTGGCGGGACCTGAGAACTTGCATTTGCACCAAGTTCCCAGGTGGCACTGATGCTGCCAGTTCAGGGGCCACACTTGGAGAACCACAGGGCTGGGCTCTCGGCCAACAGTGCAGAAAGCCTGATTCTCACTTAGCTGTCCTCAGTTGTTCAGGGAGGTTTTGCATACACAGATGCTTCCTTAACTCTCGCATGTTTTAACCTGAAAGGACACTGATCCCTTTCATAAACTCCTGATCTTAAAAATCTTGGCTAAAGGTCTGTAGTCCCAGCTACTCAGGAGGCTGAGGCAGGAGAATGGCGAGAACCCGGGAGGCGGAGCTTGCAGTGAGCCCACATCGCGCCACTGCACTCCAGCCTGGGTGACAGTGAGACCCTGTCTCAAAAAAAAAAAAAAAAAAATTGACTAAAGGTACAAACAGGGAAAGGTGGGGCTCGCCCAGGCTGTTTTAAGAGGAGACTTGGGGCCAAAGGAGAGGCAGGGAGGCCAGAGAGGAGTAATCCAAGCAAGAGGCTGTGTCCCCAGGCCCAGGTTGGTGGCAGAGGAGGAGTGAGAAGAGGCGGGGTTCTGGATGTATTCTAGGAGTAGAGGTGACGGGTTGTGATGGATGGATGTGCGGCTGAGAGAAACAAAGTGCTCCAGGCAGTGGGAGGTGGAGTTATTCTCTGACATGGGGTAGATGTGGGGGAAGGTCAAGGTTAACTTCAGATGCATGGTGGATAAGCAGGACAGCTGTCCAGCAGGCAGCAGACAAATGAACACAGGATTCAGAAAGCTGTGGATGGAACTCAGAAGTCGGCTGCATTTAGGTGACTTTTTTTTTTTTTTTTTTTGAGACGGAGTCTCACTGTGTCACCCAGGCTGGAGTGCAGTGCTGCAATCTCGGCTCACGGCAAGCTCCGCCTCCCGGGTTCAAGGGATTCTTCTGCCTCAGCCTCCTGAGTACCCAAGTAGCTAGGACTACAGGTGTGTGCCACCTATTTTTTTTTTTTTTTTTTTTTTTTTTTGTAGTTTTAGTAGAGACAGGGTTTCACTGTGTTGGCCAGGCTGGTCTCGAACTCCTGACCTCGTGATCCACCCGCCTTGGCCTCCCAAAGTGCTGGGATTACAAGTGTGAGCCGCTGTGCCCGGCCTAGGTGGCCTTTAAAGTGGTTGACCCGCATGACCCAGCTGCGCTTCCCAGAGGATGGGCGTGTTCTGATCTGCTGTCCAAGTCGGCAGCCAGTGGCTGCCCATGGCTGTTCCTAAGCACTTGGTGTGTGGCAAGAGTGACAGAGTTCTTATTTCAACTTAGGTGAAAATCTCACCCGTGGCCGGCGGCTACCGTGCTGGACAGCACAGGTGCGGACAGAGGAACCCTGGGAGCCGCAGGTTTCAGCTTTGGGGAAAGGAGGATGAACTAGCAAAGGCGGCCAAGAAAGAACAGCCTGAAAGGCAGGAGACCCCAGGCTGCCGGGTGACCAGGATGGCAAGAATGGGCTCCAGGGAAGAGCACGTAGCCCTGGGTCACTGCGCCGAGCCTGAGCCGAGGACCGAGATGAGAACCGTGGTTGACTCAGCAACGTGGAGCCATTCCTACCAAGCTTGCTCCCATTCTGCTGGGACAGGGACACTGAGTGGCAGGGGCAGCAGCCACCGGGGCAGGTTTTGTGGATGCTCAGAGAAGCGGCACTGCTTGCTTAGTCACACCGCAAAAAAAAAAAAAAAAAAAAAAAAAGGCTTGCTTTTTGTGCCTTCCATCGTGCTGTTCCCTCCCTTCAGGAGGAGCAGCCCCCTCCAGCCGGCCCTCCCTCAGTCCCGGCGGCGCGCAGCCCCCTCCAGCCGGCCCTCAGCCCTCCCTAAGCCCCGGCGCGCAGCCCCCTCCAGCCGGCCCTCAGCCCTCCCTCAGTCCCGGGGCGCAGCCCCCTCCAGCCGGCCCTCCCTCAGTCCCGGGGCGCAGCCCCCTGCAACTGGCCGTCCCTCAGTCCTAGTGCTCAGCTCTCTCCTCCAAGACCGAACGCACTCTTCCTCCGTTTGCCTCAGCCCCCGGCCCTCATCTCCTGCCTCTCCTCCTTGTGGCTTGTGAGGGTTGGGCGGACGTGGGAGTGGGGAGAGACCAGAGGGACTGGGGGTGTTTGGGAGCCGAGGCTTAGGGGCCCAGAGGGGACGGTGAAGGGGTTACCTCCGCTCCTGCTGCAGCCTCCGAGTTATCCTCTGCACCTGATGGAGCCTGTTCAGGACCCGCTCGTTCACCTGTGGGGTGGGAACTCCCATCAGCTGGATCCCACGGCTCCCGTTCATTTGTTCAACGGATGTTTAATGGGGCACCTACTAGGCTCCGGGGAGACTGGTCAAAGACCATCGTGTGGGCTGAGGTCCTTCCACCTTCCCCTCCCTCCGGCTCCCCTGTCACCATGCCACAGTCCTGAGTGCCCTCCCGTGGGGGCCTTCCGCATGCTGTTCCTCTACCTGGACCCTCTCCCCAGCCGTCCATACGGCTCACTCCCCACTCCAAGTCTTAAGTCAACTGTTACCTGCTCAGAGACCCCGAACCTCCCATTAAGTCGAAACACACCAGGCCAGGCGCGGTGGCTAATGCCTTGGGAGGCCGAGGCGGACAGATTATTCAAGGTCAGGAGTTCGAGACCAGCCTGGCCAACATGGTGAAACCCCGTCTTTACTAAAGATACAAAAATTACCCGGATGTTGTGGTGCCTGCCTGTAATCTCAGCTATTCGAGAGGCTGAGGTCAGGAGTTCCAGACCAGCCCAGTCAACATGATGAAACCCCGTCTCTACTAAAAAAAAAAAAAAAAAACTACAAAATTAGCTAGGTGTGGTGTATGCCTGCAATCCCAGCTACTTGGGAGGCTGAGGCAGGAGAATCGCTTGAACCCAGAAGGTGGAGGTTGCGGTGAGCCGAGATCACACCATTGCACTCCAGCCTGGGCAACAAGAGCGAAACTCCCATCTGAAAAAAAAAAAAAGAAAAAGACCGGAGTTCAAGTCTCAGCTCTGGCCTGGCACAGTGGCTCATGCCTAGAATCCCAGCACTTTGAGAGGCCAAGACAGGAGGATCACTCAAGTTCGACACCAGCCTGGGCAATAGAGTGAGACCCCAACACTACAAAAAAAAAACAAAAAACAAAATCATCTGGCCTTGGTGGCTGTAGTCCCAGTTCCTTTGGAGGTTGAGATTGCTAGAGTCCAGGATGTTGAGGCTGCAGTGAGCCACAGTCATGCCACTGCACTCCAGCCTGGGCAACACAGCAAGACCCTGTCTCAAAAAAACATCTCAGATCTGCCACTGCTGAGCTCTGAGCGTGGGTGCATTACTTAACCTCTCTGAGCCTTTATTTTCTATGCTAGTAAAACAGAAATAATCTATTCCTGGGGATGGATAAGAGCAGAGGCTCCAATTGAGTCCGTTTGGGCCTTGGTGTCCATCTGTTAAACAGGGTTTGGAATATGCCCCTGGCCTCTAGCCTCCCTCCCTACGGAACTTCCCAACACTGGCATTAAGAGTTGAGGCCAGGTGCGGTGGCTTATGCCTGTAATCCTAGCATTTTGGGAGGCCAAGGTGAGGGGATCACTTGAGGTCAGGAGTTCAAGACCAGCCTCACTCCCAGGACGCACCCACCGCCCGCCCTCAGTCAGGCGTTGTCTCCATCTCCGGAAACATGATGGCTTCAGTTTCTCGCTCTCCCAGTCCAGGCCTCCTCTGTTTAGTCTGCCTTCCACAGGGGCCGTGAGGAATCTTCCTTAACCCAGATCTGACTCCATCCCTCCCCTGCTCAAAACCGCTCCATGCCATGCAACAGAACATTAGTCCTGGAAAAAACTTGGTGTGGGAGAATGTCTCATAAAAAGCTGTGAAGGTTTCTGTTGTTGTTTTTGTTATGTTTTTTTTGAGACGGAGTCTTACTCTGTTGCCCAGGCTGGAGTGCAGTGGTGCGATCTTGGCTCACTGCAACCTCTGCCTCCTGGGTTCAAGCAATTCTCCTGCCTTAGCCTCCCAAGTAGCTGGGATTACAGGCACATACCACCACATCTGGCTAATTTTTTGTATTTTAGTAGAGAAGGGGTTTCACCATGTTGGCCAGGCTGGTCTCGAACTCCTAACCTTGGGTGATCTGCCTGCCTCAGCCTTCCACAGTGCTGGGGTTACAGGCATGAGCCACCGCGCATGGTCCACCCTCATTCTCAGCAAGGAGGCTGATGCAGTCATTCGGCCCAGACAGCTGGAGTTGGAGTTTGGCAGCCGTGGGGATGGAGGGAAAGAGAAGGGTCCAAAGACATGCAAGAGGCAGAATGAATGAGTCGAGAGGAGTGAATCCTGGCAGGGGTATGGGAGATGTGAAGAGCCTGGGCTTTCACCTGTGAGCGGTGCCACACATTGAGAGGCCCCCAGGAGACATCGGAGGACCCATCTGGGTTGTCAGGGAAGCTCCACGGGAGATGGCCCTTCCAGGGCCTTGGCACAGGGCCAGACACATAATGCATGCTAAATGAGTGAATATGCATATAAGCGGAGGATTCCTTCAGCAAGCCAAGAAAGGCGGGGCGTGTGGAAAGGCAGAGATTGCGGGGGGCGGTAGTTTACGCCAGGGGACCCCAAAACAGGGGGATCCGCACTCACCTACCTGCTCGATCTCCCGGCAGCGCCGACCTAGTGCCTGGTACTTTCTGCGATTTAATTCCCGCTGGCGCCGCCGCCGACCCCGGGCTGCCTCTTCCTCTTCATCTCGCTCCCGGAGCCCTGAGCCACTCAGACCCCCTGACACAAACTCCACTTCCGTCTCCAGCTCGCTCTCCAGGATGTGGCCCCCAAATAGGGGAGGCAGCGCCAACTCCGAGCCTGGCGGCGCTGAGAACTCCTCAAAGCCCACGGCTGCCATGGTCCTGAGGGGCAGGGAAAGGCTCAGGGGCCCTGGATCCTGGACTCCCAGTCCCTTCTCCCACTGAACCAGGAGCCCAAACCCCAGCCCCTTTTCCCTCAGAACTGGGAGTCCAGGCCCCCAGCCCCTAATCCCTCAGACCCTAGAATCCAGGCCCCCAGCCCCTCCTCCCTCAGACCCAGGGATCCAGGCCCCCAGCCCCTCCTCCCTCAGACCCTAAAATCCAGGCCCCCAGCGCCTCCTCCCTCAGATCCAGGGATCCAGGCCCCCAGCCCCTCCTCCCTCAGACCGTAGAATCCAGGCCCCCAGCTCTCCTCCCTCAGACCCAGGAGACCAGGTCCCCAACCCCTCCTTCGTAGCACCCACAGGGTTCAAGCCCTGACCCCCGTCCTCCCAGGATCCAAGAGTCCAGACCTCCAGACTTTTTCTCTCCAAGGACCCAGGGAGTCCAAGCCCCAACCCTCGACCAGACGCAAGAGTCCTGGCTTCCAACCTCCTCGTCTCTCAGATCCAGCAGTCCAAACCCCTAGCCTTCTCCTCCCTCAGGATGCACCAGTCCAGACCCCAGTCCATAAAAGGGTTCAAAGGTTGCATGAACTACAACCCCCATCAGACCTCAGTGTAAAAGCTCATATGGTTGCACACAATGCAGCTGCTGTTTTCTGGGATTCGCAGTTTTTCACAAGGGCTCAGCCACTTACCCTTCTCTCTGCTCCAATTCCATCTCCGCGACCTCCGGAAGCCCCAGGCCTCTTAGCTTCCAATCTCTCAAATCTCTAGATTAAGCCGTTCGCAAAACTACTTGTCCCATCAGGCTCAGGGGCCGAGGACGGCGGGACGTGGCCCTAGGCCTTGTGGGAGTCGTAGTTTCCTGTTTCCGGCTTCGCTTTGGCCCACCCCGACATCCAACCCGAATCCCTGCTTAAAGGCCTTGCTTTCTTGTCTAACGTCGCAACCAGTCCTCTGAGTTGCCAACGTCTTTCTTCTTGTCTCGACGCCCCGTCATCTGGCCACAGCAATTCTCCGCTTAGCAGGATTGGTCCACAGCGGGCCGTGAGTTCGATTAGCCCCTTTCCTCCTCGCTGCTTACCGCCTCTCTCCGCCTAGTGCCAGGTGCTAATAAAGTTGTTGTTTCAAACGCGTCCAGGAACATCGCGAGCAGGGACCAATCAGAGCGTAGCTTTACCTCTATAACGGCGCGAGCATGAGACGTCATCGGTGAACGACGAACGCTGTGGGAAAGCTTATTTCCTAGAAACAGTGGTGCGCGGAGAGGAGAGGTGAGTGTGATGGAGACCAGCGGGGAGCGGGAGGCCGGACTCCTGGGTCTGGGAGAAGAAGTGTGTGAGGAGGAAGGCGGGCCTTTACAGCTGGGTTTTTTTTTTGTTGTTGTTTGTTTTGAGACGGAGTCTCGGTCTGTTGCCTAGGTTGGAGTGCAGTGGCGCGATCTCGGCTCATTGCAACCTCCGTCTCCAGGGTTCAAACGATTCTCCTGCCTCAGCCTCCAGAGTAGCTGGGATTACAGGCGCGCGCCACCACGCCCGGCTAATTTTTGTATTTTTAGTAGGGACGAGGTTTCCCCATGTTGGTCAGGCTGGTCTCGAACTCCTGATCTCTTGATCCGCCCCCCTCGACGTCCCAAAGTGCTGTGATTACAGGCGTGACCCACCGCGCCTGGCAAGTTTGTTTGTTTGTTTGTTTTGTTTGAGACGAAGTTTCACTGTTGTTGCCCAGAATGGAGTTAAATGGCGCGATCTCGGTTCACTGCAACCTCCGCCTCCCGGGTTCAAGCGATTTTCCTGCCTCAGCTTCCTGAGTAGCTGGGACTACAGGCGCCCACC